GGCCAGAAAGCGGTTTCACATGTAGTGTGGACACAAATTCCCTCAACTGTACTTCCTCCTGGCCAAATGGCCAAGTGTGAGAATTGTGACAGTGTCCACTGGCAGCCTCAGCAATCTTCCGTCCAGGTTTGTGAGCCCGAAACTGGGGTTGAAAAAGTGAAGAGAAAATGGCTTCAACGCACAGGCCCTCAAGTGTAGATGCATCCAAGATGCATTGAAGGTGCATCTCAGGGTGGAGAGTGCATCCAAGGTGGGGTGGTCTTCGGTGCGTCCAAGGTACATTAAAGGTGGGGGTGCATCTTTGGTGCATCTGCGGTGCCTCGCAGAGCCCCGCAACTCGCTTTTCGACACCGACTCTCTTGTGTTCTTCACTCAACTGTAAATCGTCCACGAAGAAGTTGTTTCAATAATGGAAGGGTGTTTGGCTTGCGGTTTTTTGGACCAGAGAATCGACACACAAGCAAGTCTCAAGCAAGCCCCAATGGTTTGGTGCAAAGCATCTGGATCAAGTGCCTCTTGTGGAAATGATGGGTTGTTGGCAACGGAACTCGAAGATTGTGGCGCAACGAGCGGAGAAAGCGGAGCAGACAAATTTTCGTTTGTTTTTGGTGCGACGTGCGCCAAATCCTTTCTGATCAGCTTCTTCGTAGACCAAGCACGCGCTGCACGTACGACGCCGCAACAGTGTGTCCATTGTCTGCTTCACTTCCGTTTTGTGCAGTTTCCAAATTCCTTCGATTGTCCAGATTTCCACTGTGGTTTCTGTTTTTTTCCACGTGAATTGCAGTATTTTTGTGCGCTTGACTGTTCTCATCGTTTTCTTCCAAGATTTTCGAGAAGGCTTGGCAAGTTTGCCGTTCAAATTTTCTGCGCCCTCTAGAGTAACGCGATGAACAAAAGCCATGATGTTCGCACTCAAGCTTCTGTCGCATTGCGGCGATTTTTTTGCAATTCAGGCTCGATCCTGCTAGTTACTCGTTCATTCCCAACTGGTTCTGGCGCGATGGGTACTGCTTGCTTGTAATTGCTCCTATCCACGAAGAGGCGATGGGAGTGTCTGAAGGTTCGGACCCGTCCATTGCCATGGGCACCTGCCCTCCATGTTTTTTTTTTGGCAGCATCTTGTCGGAGCTGAAAAAACGGCTCAAATCTCAAATCCAAAACGAATCCCTGTTCTAGGAAGTTTCCGCAGTTCTCCAATTCTCCCCAAATCCTGTCAGCCTCAAGCTTTGAAGAGCACGTCGGCAAGAGATCGAGCGTGAAGCGCAAGGCGACACTTTCCAGGTCTTGCTTAGGGTTTAGAGTTCAGGGTTTAAAGTTACAAGATTCTTTTGATCGCATTTTGGAGTTCTAAGACGCAAGGACCCACAACACACCTCCTAGACAGCCAACGCCAAAGAAGCAACGCAGTTCTGAGCCTCCAAACCCCACCCTAAACCTCACGAGCCCCAAACCCTGAACTCCAAACCCGTCAAGGGCCCTAAAGCCAGCCCGAAACCCCAAAACCCCAAATCCCAAAGGCCCTTAAATCTCGCTAAAGAATCCCAGCCCTAAACCCTAAACCCTAAACCCCTAAACCCCCAAAAGCCTGAAGCTCCGTGCCTTTGCCCTTGGAGGTGCGGGCTCGGCCAGAGTGGCTCTGGGCCGCTGCTGCGATTTGAGCCGCAAACCTTGAACCAGAGAACCCAGTGCCCCTTGAAGAAGGAATAAACCTTAAATCATAGTATCAAGGCCCCTATAATTTAAGGTATATTCCTTAATTGAGGTGTATTTGGGTTCTCTGGGAATCCTGAACCATACGTCGTATCATTGTGGTGCTTATGAGTATCATAGTACCAGTGTCTCGTTGTTCCCTAAACACTAAACCCTAAACCCTATATGTTCCAGAAAGTTGTGGTTCTTGTGGCCTCCAAAGCGGACGGTCTGAGCCTCTCAGCTCTCAGCCATAAGGCGAGGTCGTCGGCTTAAGAACGGCAGCCAAGTAAGTCGCCGGTGTTTAGGGGCTGGCTTACATACCTTAGGCCTGTGAATGCTACGTAGGCTTTCACTTGTTTTTGCTGCCAGGCTCTGGTGTAAGCCATCCTGCCCCGATCCATCACGGCTGGGGTTCCGATATGGACGAGAGATTTCGGAGCCTCGCACCTCCTGAAGTTGCAGCGAGGCTTGAGTCCGCGACCTTCTCTAGAGGAAGGCACCGGCACTGCACTAGCCGCCTAGTTCTGCTCCTGTGCCTGCCTTTAGAGCCGCACCGTGGCCTCATGTGCCGTTGGAAGTAGGAATTGCCCGCAGCACTAGTTTTGCAGGAAGCTGCCACAGAATTCTGCTTTTGACCAGGGTCCTTCGAGAAGATCAGCGCATGGAAAGGTACGTTTACTGCAGAGTATGTGTTGCCGACGTCCTTCTTGCATCCACCTGGCAGCTGCAAGCTTCGCTGAAGTGCCGGTAGGCGTGTGTGCAAAATGACAATGGGTGCGGTCTGATCATCTTGCATGAGCTATGGAGGAATGTTTTGCAGCAGCCTCTCCTGCGTGCTTGGGGCGTCGTTGTCAAGTCTGGCATTCGGGTTGAATCTCACAAGGGGCTTCTCACAAGACAGCCTTGAGTCACATGCACATGCAGCAGCTCTATGGTCCGAGGAGTTTGTGTCCTGTCCCAGGAAAATGGACGCCTGCCCTCATTGCTTCCACAAGGCCCAACTTCCTTGCTCGCAGCATTTTTGGCTGAAGTAGTAAGGCTCTGCCGGCTCTGGTCACGGAGCAAGCCTGCATAGTAGAGCCAGGATGTTCTTCGGTGGATTCCCAGGCATGGATGGCGGCCGCAAGGGCGGCGGGAAGGGTGGCAAGAAGGCGGACAGCAGCAAGTTCTACAAGCTGCTGGACGTGGAGAAGAACGCCTCCGAGTCCGACATCAAGAAGGCCTACAGGAAGCTCGCGGTGAAGCACCACCCCGACAAGGGCGGTGACCCGGAGATGTTCAAGGAGATCACCCGTGCCTACGAGGTCCTCAGTGACCCTAAGAAGAGGGATGCCTACGACCGCTTTGGGGAGGAGGGCCTGGAAGAGGGCGGCGGTGGAGATGCGGAGGACATCTTTTCGGCCTTCTTCGGCGGAGGCCGCGGGGGCCGGGGAGGGGGAGGGAGCAAGCGGCAGAAGACCAAGGACGTCGTCCAGCCTTTGAGGGTGACCTTGGAGGGCCTCTACTCCGGGCAGACGAAGAAGATGGCTATTACACGCCAGGTCGTCGACAAGGAGAAGGGTGTAAAGGACTGCCCGAAGTGTGACGGACGTGGGTTTCTGGTGGAGATCATCCGCATGGGCCCAATGATCCAGCAGGTGCAGCAGCCCTGCGACAACTGCGGAGGAACCGGCAAGGTTTATACCACGAAGAACGAGAGGGAAGTTCTCGAGGTGCACATCCAGAAGGGTGCCGTTGACGGACACAAAATTCCGTTTCGGGAGATGGCCGACGAGCACCCGAATGCCGACACGGGCGACGTGATTTTCGTCTGCAAAGAGCAGGAGCATGCGGTCTTCAAGCGCAAGGGCGCAGACTTGTTCATGGAGAAGAAGATCTCTTTGGTGGAGGCTCTCTGCGGCTTCGAAACAGACATCACTCACCTTGACGGGCGAAAGTTGCTGGTGAAGACTGCCGCAGGTGAGATCATCAAGCCCATGGAGGGAAACTTTGATCCTCTTGCAGAGCAGGAGTCGAAGACCGAGTGGGAGGTCATCGAGGACGCTGACTGTCCGTCTATTGATAATGTCGCTCAGGCGGACACGACCGACGTTGACACCTTGAAGAAGGCCTGCGAGACGCAGCTCAAGCGAAAGGGCATCGACGTGGGCGCCTTCGTCGTGGACGGAAGGCGGGCGTACTTCAAGCAGTGCACCCGTCAGGAGGCGATGGCAGCCAAGAAGACGGCGAAGGGGAAGACCATGTACGTGGCCGCAGATCCCGACGCAAACAAGGGCTTCAGAATGATGAAGTGTCTGAAGGGTGAGGGGATGCCCACAGTCAAGAACCCTTTTGTGCACGGCAACCTCTTCCTGATCTTTACCATCCAGTTCCCGGAGTCGCTAAGCCAGGAGACCCAGACTTCCCTACGGAAGCTTCTGCCGCCGGCCCTGAACAAGCCGAAGTTCAAGGAAGATGACAAGGAGGTAGAGATCCACACTTTGGTGGACTACGACCCCGTAGCTTCCTTCAACGAGAACAAGGTCAACATGAAGGCTGGCGGGGAGGCTTATGACGACGAGGATGATGACGACGATCGCGGCGGCATGCGGGGACCCGGTGGCCAGCATGTGCAGTGCAACCAGCAGTGAAGAAGAGCTGAGGTGCGCGGGGCAGTCGAGACCCACCATTGCCAAATGAGCATTCACCGATGGCAGATGCCTTGGGGTGCGGTGATGATGTGTCCGGGCCCTTAGCGTGTTTTTCCGCAGTGGCAGAGTTCTTTGCATGGAGGGTTGAAGATAGTAGCCGTTAGTAGCCGTATGCCGAGTAGCAAGAAGGTCGCATGCGACGAAAACACGCAGAAAAGCAACAGATGAAGCGGATGATGCCGACACACAAGCAGTGGTAGGAAAGCCGCCCTTGGGCTAGAGCGACATCGCAATACGGCAGCATCAAGGCCGTCACCATCGGCATTATCAGCCACAGCATCAGAAGCTATCGTGTTGGTGGCATCGTAGAAATAGAAACAGCAGCTGTAGTAGTTGCTGTTGGTGGTGACGGTAGTAGTCGCATTAGTAGTGGTTGTAGTGGTGGTGGTAGTGGTAATAGTAATCATAGTCTCCCTCCTCCTCATTTCACAATCCTCAGTATCAGTTGCCGATCTTGCTGCAGAGCCGTTTCCATATTAGAGACATGCCAGCAGCCATGCCAAGTTTCTCGGCTCATCTTCAATCCAGCCGGAATTCGTCATGAAAGTTCGCGAACGGAGAGAGTGCCCAATCGGGCTTTTCCATTTCGGCGACCACGAGGGGTAATAATTATCTATGCACGTGTGCAGAAGACGTGACTTCCTTTATCTTCCCTTCCTTGTGGAAGGATGAAGCCTCAGCTCGACAACAGCCTGCTTGCAGTGGAGAACGACCAAGCGCATTCTAGTAATCATGGTGCGGATGGTCTGTAAACCCGAAACCCCTAAACCCCTAAACCGCTATACCGCTAAACCTCTAAACCCCAAACCGCGATGATAAGAGCAGGCCGACCGTAGATATTGCGACCCACGTACCTAAGACCATCACTTCTTCGCCGAAGCAAATAACCTCTGATCCCTAGAAAGGGTTATGTAAGACATTACTGTAAGGGGTGGATTACTATAAGGTACAAAATGGGGGGGTGCTATTACGGGCTGCCAGAAGGGTCGCTAGAAGACTTCTAAACCCTCCATTCTTTTCCAGTCTGGGCGGCGGCATCCCTCAGAATGTCAAGGCTTGTCCATCATGTCAAGCCAGGTCCATGTCCGTCTGCATGGAAATCTCTCTACAGGGAGGTAGGATAAGAAAAGCCATGATGTCTTGAGCAAGATGCAGAAGTCAAGGTGTCTGTCGGGTCTGGTCTGTATGTCTGTACGCCTGTATGTCTGTCTGTCTGTCTGTTTGTTTGTTTGCTTGCTTGCTTGCATGTCTCCACATTCCGCAGAGCCGTTTCGTCCAGCATCGCGTGCTGTATCAACATTTAGCAACAAAGGAACTCAATGTTTTGGTTTGTTGATGGCCGTGCCGCTTGAACAGCGTTGCCTTGAATGTAATCATGCTTTCCTGCAATCCTCTTTGCAATTCAGGCTCGAGCCTACGAAGGCTTTCCCACATCCCTTTTAATCGCTTTGTCGCAATGGGTACTGCCTTGTGCGAGGTGCCAGGAAGAAGGGTCTGAAGTTTCGATAAACCGCAGTGCCACCGAGCATGACCTTGACTTCACATCCACAGACCTTTTTTGGACAATTTTCTCTCCGGATGATTTTAAGTCAGAGGCCTTGGAGCCTGGGAGCTGCACTCGCTTCCTGTTTAGAGGTTTACGGCTTAGCGTTTCGGGGTTTAGGGTTTAGGCAGTTTAGGCTTTAGGGTTTAGGGCCGCCAAATTTTTTTGGAACCCTAAGCCCGCACCCCAGAGCCATGCTTCAGGAGGAATCCGTAATCGAGCGGTGCAGGGGACACCTGCAAAACGGAGGGGTTTGCGCATCGGTACGCACAGGATAAGCGAGGCCCGGCTTCAGGCCGAACGCTGCTTTAATGTCATGAGGCACATCCTCTGTCTTCGGCCTAGGCCCAAAGCCCTGCGCCCGAAACCGTGCCAGCTTTACTATGCCTAAACCCTAAGCCTGTAAACCCTAAACCGTGCCTGCCTTGAACTGCTTGCAGAGTGTTGCGGCAGGCGCTGGAAGAGGCGAAGCTTCCTGGCTGCAGTCGAAGCAAAGTGCTTGGTTTGATTTAGAGGGCAAGAGGATAGTTTAGGGTTTAGGGTTTAGGGCTTAGGGTGCTAGGGTATGATAGGGTACTCGGTTTTTGGGTGAGTTTCGAGTTCACGCTCCCGGAGTTGAGGCTTGGGGGTTTACATGGGCGACTGGAATCTAAGCTGAGGTTCGGGTCTCCGACGCTGAGAATTTGGGCTTTAGGGCTCAGGGCTGGCGCCTGCAGAGTCAGGAGACTGCGGCCTGGGTAGTGCTTGTAGCTTCTGGCCGGGGAGAGGCTTGGTGGACCCTAAACCCAGCCTTGGACCGTAAACCCTAAACCCTAAACCCTGGACCGTGAAACCCACAGTTCCTGAGGCAGGAGCATCCTTTCGGGTGAACCCTAAAGCCTAAACCCTAGACCCAAATCTTATCGAATGAGTTAGGGGTTCTGCGTCCGAAAGATGCCGGGCTAAGTGCTGTAGGCCATAGATCCTAAGCCCGAAACCATCAAACTTTCGATTTCTAGATTTTGAATCAAGAGTCACGGTCCCGCAATAAGCCCTAAGCAAACCGTTGTTAAAAAAAGCATCTGCAGACTGCTACACTTTTAAACCCTTGAACCCCCCCAAAAAATCCCTAAACAGACATCTTCTCAATCTTAAGGAAGGTCGTCGTGCTCTTGCACGGTCTGGCCTCGTGTGCTCTCGAATCACTGCCAGAGGCCGGGCCTCCCCCCGCAATAAGGAGTGCATGTTATTCACGATGTATCCCTTTTCTGGCAGCTTTAAGTTAGACTCCTCATCCCCTTAACCCCGAGCAAAAATCAAGGCACCTTTGATGACATCTCGGGTTTGGGGGTTCAGGGTTTAGGGGGTTTAGGGCGTTAAGGTCTAGGGTGTGGGGTTTTGGGATTTGTGGGTTTGGGCTTTTGGGTTTGGTTTTTGGGGGGGCTTAGGGGTTCAGCCCAGGGTCGTCAAAACCCCTTACTTGATATCTTAAACCAACCATCTTTAAGGATCGCCCGACAAGTTTGAAGTAGATTCCTCAGTTGCACAGGCTTTCCCTAAGCCCTAAAGGCATTGCAGAATTTCTGTGTTCGGGATCTTGGACCTGAAAGGGTTCACCGTTTGGGGCACAGCGCGTAGGGTTCAGGCTTTATCTAAGGCCCTGAACCCTAAACCCTGAACCCTAAACCGTAGACCCCAAACCCTAAAGGTGAACGGTGCAGGCTTTAAAGTTTAAGATTCAGGATTTTGGATTTGTCAGGTTCTCGAGGATCCTATGTCTTTCTTTCTCTGAATCAGTCTGGGTTCCTGTGTTCCGGGTCAAGGTGCTGAACTGTTGAGGTGTCAGGGGTCCGGAAGTGGGTTTAGGGTTTTAGGGTTTGCGGTTTAGGGTCAGTTCCGAAACCCTGGACCCTGAACATCCTAAACCCTGAACCCTAAACTCCTAAATCCTGAACCCTAAACTCCTCAAGCAAAAGATCAGATAGATTTTGTATGTTTTGATAGCGGTTTGCCTAAGCAGCGAAAGCTCTGCTTCTACGCTTGTGTATGTCGTCATTGGGTCAGAACATGCTTAGACGATTGTGCTTTTGCAGCTTGCCTTGTTTCGAAAGGCTTTGAGCGCACAGCCGATGTGCGCCAGCGATGTTTTCTTAATGGAGACATCCGGACGGATGGCAACAACAAAATGATAGACCCCGCTCACAACCGCCCAAAACTCCGGACCTGAACCCTATACAATTNNATCCTAAATCCTAAACCCTAAACGTTTGTAAGGGTCATACGCAAAGGCAATTGCAGCTCTGTCCCTTGATCCTCCACCTGGAACCCCAAATCCCTAGCAAACCTTTACGAAACGCTGCGCAAGAAGTTGATAGGCGGAGCCCGAAGCTTGGCGTCTGCTCTGATATTCAGATGGGGTGACCTGAGCTACGTCGACGAGCTGCTCAAGAAGAGGATCGAGGCGGCGGTGAAGTTCGCCGGAGGACGGCGGATTAGGGTCGAGGGTTTCACAAAAACCCAAAATCCTGAACGCTCATGGAACCCCCTAAACCCTAAACC